ATATGTCGGTATTAAATGAACTATGTTGTGGTCAGACGTGGATAAATGGTTCACAGTTCCAATTATTTATTTATTTTTCAAATTGTGCCTGCAAATTGTATAATATCAAATGTAAAAATTTCTAGTAATTGTGCAGTTAATTCTCATACTGTTTTTACAGAAAGTTTGGGAATATATCCCAAATGTGTCACTAATAAAACACAATACAAATAATTTAAAGAGGAGGCTTATATTGAGCTTTTAAGATTTACCTAAGATTTATTTATATGTAGCCTACATATATTTTTGCTATTTTAATGAAAAGGTTACAATTACAACAACAATTAAAATTTTAACTATATTTCAAATGCAATCTTTCTTTGTATTATATACTAAAGTATACATTTTATCATACATATTTCACAGTTGCGGATTAATTAGTTTGAATATAGCCTACAATCGAACAAACACTATAATAACATCTTAGCAAACAAGCTTATTTGATGTGGCAGTATTTTACAGTAAAAACGACATCTTGTCTTTCATATGTAACATATCGTTTTTATGATTAGGACATATAAATGTTAATTTGCAGTTTAATACGCTACTTATACAAAAATATTTTATTTCAGTCGATTTTTACTCATCTCAGTATATGATGTTTTATTAACAAAGTTCGGGAGGAGCACGTTCAGATAATTAAACCTAATTAAACACACGTGGAGCACATTCAGATAATCAAACCTAATTAGACAAGAGTGGTGCTTAATAAACGAGTTAAGCGCTTTGTATATATACAGCAAACTAACCTCCGTTCATTGACGGTTTAACAGCATCCCTCCACCACCCCATCTCCTCACTTATAGTCCTAATACTCTTACAACAACGGGGGGAGTACTCTGGGTTCGGGCAAAATTCCGAGCTCGGAGCCCTCCCCCCGGACAGCACGCCAAATACGCATAATCTTTACTCTGTTTAATTGATGTAAGTGTGAACTCGTGAATGGAATATAGTTAGGTAAAAGCTGTTCATTCATTCACACACAAAAACGCGATTCAAACAGTCTTTTTGTTTACAGATACTATTTCATATCGCGATTAGCACAAAGCACTTGAAAATAAAGAATGGTACATGTACCTATTTCCTCGGCTGGATCCGTTGCTCCTCCAAATGAAACTACCTGTAGCCTACTTCTGAGGTAATTTTTTCCAGGATTATTATTAAAGGGGTCATTTAATGGTACATGCACTTTTACAAGTTGAGTGTACTGAAATGTGTGTTGGCAGTGCCTGTACACAAACATCATATAATGATAAAAATCCATCCAGTGTTTTTGTTTTAATCTCCTTATATGTTTTCCCCTGCCTCAAATTGAGCCGTTCGTTTTTGTGACGTCAATAAAACGGACGCCCCTCCCACGATTGTTGATTGACAGCCAGGTTTCAACACAGACCCGCCCTCGCTCGTGAGGGAGCGAGCTGTCAATCATAGTCTGCGCGGCGCGGACCGGACCGGCGCGGTCATTGTTGATATGCTGCAGCACTGTCTATGAGCAGAATGGCGTCTAAGCGATTGTGGTGTTCTGTTCTTGGGTGTAATAACGAACACAGCAGTCATTTTAATGTTCCTAAATCCGAACCGCTGAAGACGCAGTGGCTGAGTTTGTTTTCCAAGGGAATATTCCCCACGAGCAACGTCAATGCTTTCATATTTGCGCGAATCATTTCACACACCAGACTGCTTATAAACGAGGAGGGTCAGTATAAAGCTGGTTTTGCTAAGAAGTACCAACTATTCGTGTTCCTGCTGAACCTCCAAAATAACTGAAGTGAGTGTATCGTTTTATTAATCTTTAATATTTATATTAATCTTTGCAAATCGCTATGCACGCTTCACAATGAATGCGTCTAAGGTTTACACTCAGGGTACATTACGGCATGTTTTCTATGTACGACGTTCTCAATATAATTCACAATCCCACATCTATAATGAACAATGCGTTATGGTATTGTGTTACAAACGGTGTACACAGAACAGAGAGGCGGGGTGAGCAAAGCTCATGATCATTTAAAGTCATATGCACTGAAACGGCGTGCTGAAAACAGAGCTGTTTTTGACCAGGTAAAATAAGTGTTTTCTTACAATACTAATGAGAATTTTTAATTAAAGTATATTACAAAGTTTTAATTTAGACTCTAAAGAATCATATTAGCTTGTACAAAAATGGCATTATATGACCCCTTTAAGATAGTATTATTCCTCACAGCGTCGTAAATATGAGTCTCTTTCGGTGGGTTAACCAGCTGATGTGGGCGTGGATCGCCTCAGAGCATTTGTGTTTGAATAGAGCGCGCGCTCCGTGGGCGTGGTCAAATTAACTTTAATGAGCTGAGACGAGAACGACTATCATCTCTCTCTTTTCGTACAGATTACATAAAATGAGAAAATTTGTTTTTTATATAAATTACTTCATTTAAAAGAAGATAATTCAGGCTTCATGCCCGTGTGCCTGTATACTTGTTTGACGGAGTATTTGCAGAGTTACAGTTCATTTTTCGGACGCGTTTCAGAATGGACTTCACTGACAGAGAGAACGCAGAACGCGCATCATGTTTATTTTTCTTTATTATTAGGCGAAAAGCACAACACTTTGTTTTTATTATGAGGTTCCACAAAAAAAATACAAACTTAACAGGATCGAATGATGTACAACACTTATATGTGAGATCAAAATCAACAGAGTAATTTGAGTCTCTTTTGCACTGATAAGGAAAAAAGTGAGCTGGTATCGCCGGCGAGACCGCCGACCCCTGAGGGTTAAGCTAACAAAGAAAGGGAGATGGCTTGTGCCCAAACATTGTGCATTAGCCATGGTAGAGCCCTGCACGGGCCTCAAATCTAGGCCCTAGCCCGGCCCTGGCCCGAGACGCTCAGGCCCTAGCCCGGCCCGTGTCCGACAGCTCATTAGAATGATCAGCCCGAGCCCGTAAAAAAAAAAAATAATAATTCACAGCCTGCCCTATGTTGCAGTCAGTAAAACAGATATTTTTCTTCTCAATGGCAAAGTATTTACCAGTAAGTTTATTTTCATTTCTTTATAAAGTTAATTTAGAAAAATGTTTTTTTTTTTTTATGACGACCAAGCAGCCGACAGTGAGTTAAACATGTTTGATCCATTTATAGCCTCTCAAATCAACACTTTACTTGGCTACAATACAATCCATATATATAAAACAACTTAAGCATATCACACAGACAGTTAACGTTTGTTTAAACGTTTATTGTCATTTTTGAAAAGCTGAGGCAAACTGCTCTGCTGCTCAGTCGCAACAGCGCTCGCAAACTAAATGAGTTTACAATACAATACAGAGAATGCAATCTAAACAAATCAAATAAATTACATTAAAAACAAACATGCAGGTTATCTTACCTCAAAAATCAAGTCTTCACTACAGAACATGGCCATTCTTATTTCCAATAGTTTTCAACAGACTCATGAAAATAAAGTCCAATCAAACAAAAAACAACCTCCTAACATGGCTAAGAACAGTCTCAGAGCATCGTGAAGAAAAAGCACAGCATCCACAGTGGAAGGTTTTAATCCAGTCGTACTTTTTCCAGCTGCGCTGAAGTCACGCTCGCCACCGGGACACTAAACACAGAACGAGCCGGTCGCACGAATCTCAGATCGCGCCGCCGGGAAACCTGTGCGTGTGCGTGAGCAGACTGTCATGTGTCAGTCATGTCAGTGTGATAGGTTATAAAACGTCTTTCTATGTTTGCTTTTCAATCGTCATCTTCTCATATTTTATTTTAATTAATGTCTAAAATAGGCTATAAAAAAAGATAAGCCTAAAACAGGCCCGAGGCCCGGCCCGCGTGTGAACTATGACGTGAAAATTGGCCCGAAGCCCGGCCCTAGAAGCGTAAATAAGTCGGGGCCCGTCGGGCTCGGGCTGAAATGCAGGCCTCTAAGCCATGGCTGTCAGACACATGACAGGATCAGCTCAGCTGATAGGCTTATTGAATGGTCTGGGGCACTGTTCCTCTAACTCTCAGGTACTTGAACATGACACAGCGTTAGCACAGCTACAAATACTACGAGGTGACATTTACATCCCCCAAAACATGCAAGTACAGTTGCAAGCAACTCTAGTTTGGGACAATAATGATTTTGGAGAGGAAACGTTGTCTGGTAAGGGGACTACACACAATACAAATGGCATACTAATTCAAAAAATGATTCCATGTAATGAAGCTACCCCTGACCATCAGTGTTTACAGAAAACAAGAAAGAGGTCTCTTGATCCGCCCCCTACTAACCTTGAGACATACATCAGAGGGAAGAGAACAGGCCCAGAACATTTTGGAAAAGAAGTGGAACTAAATCGAGACACCCACATCCTTACCAGGAAAGCAGCACAACAATTAGATGGTGCCTACTTCCTGATGAAGACTGCAGTCCATGGCAAAGTCCTTCCTTCCTGGACTGGTTTTAACACAGTGATCCGTGGAGATCTAATTCCACCACCAACCAACATTGGGTACCTTCCAGTGATTGATGCAAGTCCTACAGAAATGGGAACTGTAAAAACCATCCTTAAAAGATCAACAGAAATTGCAGACAGACTCCAACTTCAGGAGATAGTTCTAGTCTTTGACCAAGCCATCTATGCCAAAGCTCAGGAGATACGGTGGAACAGTGAAACATACAAGGAAAGACTTACAATTAGAATGGGGGAGTTTCACTGCCCAGTGGCCTCTGTCCATCATGGCCTCCTAATCATCCCCATATATATATATATACACTGATTGGCTTCATCACTCTGTCTCCTCTCCACCAGTAAGCTGGTGTGTGGTGAGCGTTCTGGCGCAATATGGCTGCCGTCGCATCATCCAAGTGGATGCTGCACATTGGTGGTGGTTGAGGAGATCCCCCCTTCCATGTGAAGCGCTTTGAGTGCCTAGAAAAGCGCTATATAAATGTAATGAATTATTATTATTATTATTATTCACACATGTATGGCTTTCCTGTCCTGTATTGGCAAGCGATTTGGAGATGCTGGCTTACAAGACATTCTGATTGAGGCAGATGTTATTGCTGCTGGGTCTGTTGGGGGAGTTATAACAGGTCACCAATATAACAGAAGCATCCGAAGCCACAAGTTGATGTGTGAGGCACTACACAGGTTACGCTGGCAAGCCTACCTTGAAACCTTTTCTCAAGACTGTCGTGAAGCTGCTTTAAAAGTTGCTGCTGACCTCCAAAGTGCCTTTCCTGAAGAAATATGTCAAGTAATTATTGAATCACAGGTGTTCAACACAATCCTTGAAGGCTATAACAAATTCAACAAACAACAAGAAAGCAAGACATACCAGTTTTGGAGTTCCTACATTGAAATGGTAGAGGATCTGCTATCATTCATCAGGGCCACACGAGAGGCAAACTGGGGTCTGCATCTTTCCAGCATCCGGTTCATGCTGCCGTGGTTCTTTTCCTACGACAGAATCAATTACAGTAGATACCTATCAGCATACTGGCAGGAGATGAACATTCTAAACGAAACTCATCCAAGAATCTACACACAGGTACAATCAGGTGACTTTGTGGCACAGAGGCAGCAGGCATATGCCTTTACAGGCACTGCATGTGACCAGGTAATAGAACAGACAGCAAACAGGGACTCAAAGACCAAAGGTGGGTTTACAGGTTTTTCGTTGAACAAAGGTGCAGTCCACAGGTGGACACTGACACAGCACGAGAGAGCAGCCATCACAATGGAGGTCAAGGACATGGCTGGGCAGAACACGTCAACGAGACAGAGAACAGAATTGGATGAGAAAAGAAAGGAACAGGATGAAAAAGATGTTCAGAGCATTCTGTCAACCATACATCACATGATGAACCCATTTGATCAAACACTGGAAAAAGACCATCTTTACCATGTTACATCAGGTCAGGTAGCATCAGAAGCCATCTCTGCAGATCTGCTGAATGCAAAGGAAATAGGTGAGAAGGCATTTGTTGAATTCTTTCAGCATCGTCTCAACACAGATGAGGTGGAATTTCATGCACCATTGAAAAAAAAGAAACTCAAGACATTTAAGGACACAGCTACCTCAAGTGTCACCAAAGTGAGAGGCCGGGAGATAGCCCTCAAAGCACATAGAGATCTCTTCGCAAGGCTTATTGTGGTTGGAACAGTGAGGAAGATAGACATAGGGGAAATGCTGGTCTATAGTCTGGGGCCCTTGCCTGCAGCAATTGCAAACGTTGATTGCTCGATTGTAAAAACAGACAAAGCCAAATTAATGCACTTTCTAGAAGGGTCAGTAAATCCACCAGCCACAGTTGAAATCCCTGATGGCTCAACCTGGGTGTGTGATGCAATGGCACTAGTATAAGCCATGAAACCCCAAAATACATTCGGAAGATTTGCCAACAATATACTTATGTACATGATCAATGCAGCCAAAGCAAGCAAATCAAAAGTTGTGCATTTTGTCCCTGATACGTACAAACAGATGAGCATAAAGAACGCGGAACGAGACAGACGAGCTACAAAAGGATGTCAATTAACTAAAATATATTCAGCTGACCAGAAAACACCAAAACAATGGTCCAAGTTCTTGTCTTGTGGTGACAACAAGGAGCAACTGCAACAGTTTTTCTTTGAGTCGTGGTCTAAGTCTAGGATAGATCAAATTGAGGACATTACATTGGTAGTTGGACATGGCTCTGAGTGTCACGTAATCAGAAAAAACAACAGTGGCACAGATCTTGAGGTGTTACCACTGCCAGCACTGTCTACGATACAGGAGGAGGCAGACACTCGGCTGTTGCTTCACTGTGCACATGCCTCACAGTACAGTACAAATATTGTGATCAACAGTCCTGACACTGATGTGTTTGTATTGGCCATTTCATTCTGCAGGGAAATTGGAGCAAACGTCTACTTTCACACAGGTAAAGGAGAAAACAAACGCACCATACATGTACAGCAAATACAGAGCCATCTAGGTGATAAAATATCAGATGCTCTGATTGGACTTCACTGTTTCACTGGCTGTGATACAGTAAGTGCTCTGTATGGCGTTGGTAAAGTGAAGGCAATTAAAACACTGCTTTCTAACTAGGGCTGGGCGATATGGAGCAAAAAATATATCTCGATATATTTTGCTATATCTCGATATTCGATATATATCTCGATATCTTTACAGGAAAATGGATGTGAATACAACTCAAAATATAGGCCTACAATCAATAGAAAATTAATTTTCCATAACAGAATGTAACCAAATGAGAAAAATTAAACACAGGGCCTGAATTTCGTCATCATTATTAATCACGTGATTCATATACAGAAACTGAATAAAGTAATCAAATGGAAAATAACACTGAGTAGTATTTTAGTCCTGAATAAATTAAATACATAGGTTATTAATCCTGATTCCTTTAACTTAAAGCTATCTTTTGTTGTATTGACAACAAAATGAATGACACACATATGGCTGCCGTCACTTTAAGAGCTAGTGCACGGATCCTGTGTTCATTATACTGGCATGCGTTTTATTAGCCTGGATGCCAGCCCGAACCCCGACCACAACATTTTTTGATCGGGAAGTTCGGTCTGGACTCGCTCCATTGAGGAGTAATTATGATCGGTTCAGAAATCGTCGGGCCAATCAAATTGCCAGGGCGGGCTTTATACGATGATGGACAGATGATCTGCAGGGACGTAATCCTCACGTTATCAAAGAGCGCTTGGGTTGAACTGGTTTCCCTCACAGATGACTGCCGCGGGAGAACTGAGATGTATAGATCCCGCTATCGCGTCTGTTGTAAAAGAAATCGACAGCGCATTCATTTTAAAAGACGAACATAGAACTGCAATCAAGGCATTTGTCGATCGGAAAGATGTGTTTGCCGTCCTTCTTACGGGATTCGGCAAAAGTTTAATTTATCAGCTGGCTCCGATGGTCGCTAAGAAGATGGGACGCAATGAAAGCCCTGTGGTCGTTGTGGTTTCTCCTTTGGTCGCACTCATAGAGGACCAAGTAAAAGAAGCAACACTCGTTATTTTACTTCTTCCAGCATGCGTGCATTTGAGTTCTGTAGTTGACAACTGTGCTATGCAAAGTAGTTGACTTACTGCGTTGCTCTCATTGGTTGTAGGTCTATCCAATTGAGTGCAGAGTTTTTTTTTTTCCTGGTTCGGTTAAGACACGCCTCATAATCAAAGCCCTATGGAGCGGTATCAGACTCACATTCTGACTAGAATATGAGTATGACGAAGTCAGGCTAGCGTTTTATGCTTATTAAAGACAAAACCGACTATGTTTAGAGTATACTCACGACGACCGAAATTGACAATTTTGCGTGTTAAAGCAATATAATCCGCGAAAAATAACTTTTGTTACTGGCCAGCTGTTCTTAAGGCGGATTTTCTATGAATGTGCGCATAGAAAATAATCTCTCAGAGAGCGCGCGAGCACTGATTAGTTTAAAATCGCTTGAATGTTTAAACTGGTAAGACTTAAAAAGACGTGCAAATGGTAAACTTCAGTCACGATGCACTGCTGGCCCGATTGTGCGAGTGAATATCCATCATGTCCCGACTCCTAAACGCGAGTGTGTGTTATCGCCGCAGCTCTTGATGCTTGCCTTGCACAACACATTATGAGAGAAGAGAAAGAAGACGCGGCACCGCTGAACACTCACGCTGTTTGTGAAATTGCGTCTGGCAGATAGTTGTTAAAAGAATGATTTGATTTTATAATCTGTGTGGATTACGATTGCGGGAATTTCCCGCATTATAAATGGGAGACCTGCGGGAATGATTAGAATTATGCGCAATACCCGCGCCGAAATTCGAGCCCTGCAATAGTTTAAAACAAGACGTTTGTAGTAGCCTTCTGATTACTGGAGTCCATTAATCGAACTTCCATGCCTCTTATATAGTAATTATATATTGTAGTATGTAGGCTACCAATTTACTAATGCAATTAATGCTCAAACTCGGTTTCTCTCGTGCTCTGTCGCTCGCGCGCAGACACACTCGGAGTTCTGTATCCTCCGGGCTGGTTGCGGATGAGACAACACGCGAGGTGAGGGGGAACAAAAGCAAGGAGGCAGGGGCGAGCACAGCACAGAGAAGGCAAACAAGCAAAGTGGCGAAATCAGGATTAAATATAAACAATATATCGATATATACGATATGTCAAAATCCATATCGTGTTTAAAAAATATCTCGATATATTTTAAATATCGAGATATTGCCCACCCCTATTTCTAACGAAGACCATTGTGCCACAATGAGTAGGTTGGGAACAGCTTTTCAACTGCCAGCAGATCTGTATGAAGCTACAGAAGCATTTACCTGTGCACTCTATGACCTTAAAGACTGTAGGGATGTAAATTATGCAAGGTCTCAGCTGTTCAAGAGTGGAAAGTGCACAGACAGAAGTCTACCACCAAACAGAGATGCCTTGCATAACCACACCCAGCGGGCAAACTACCAGGCAGCCATATACAGAAGGTCCCTGGAGAGTCAGCCTGATGTTCCCCCACCAATGGCCCATGGTTGGAAGATTGAGGGAGACTTCTTTGGGATTGACTGGATGACACTTCCCCCAGCCCCTGTCGGCATCTTAGAGCTTGTGTACTGCTGCTGTAAAAAAACACAATGTGTCAAAGGGAGATGCACATGCAAATTGAATGAGCTCCCATGTACAGACATGTGTCTTTGTGTGGACTGTGAGAACTTCCCAAATTAGGCATCACTGTAGGCGTCTTTCTAGCAAGCGGAAAGAGAAATGTAAAAAAGTTAGTTAATTACTTTCTTGTTGTTAGATGATAAAATGTATAACATTAAAGGAGCTGTATGTAAGATTGTGGCCAAAACTAGTACTGCAATCACTGTCAAATTACTGTAGAGTGGTGTATCCCCTCCCCCTCCTCCCTGACTCGAGGTTGCCAGATAGGCTGCAGGATCCAGCAGGAACGTGACGAGCTGCAGCTGTGGTAACTAGAGCAGAGCTGGCAACCCGGATGCCGCAACACTACTGACTTCGTGATTGGTAGATAGGTGGAGGGTGGAGCATCAGACCAAAACACAACATGACAACATCAACATCAGTTGAGGGCTGCAACTGCACTTTTTAAATGACAATATCCTGGCCAGACTACTGTTGTCAGTGATATAAGTATTTGAAATGTACATGATTTCTTAATGTCTAGTGACATTTCAGGGCCATTTTATGATTAATTGAAATAAATTTCTTACATACAGCTCCTTTAAGAATACATATTGTAATGTAATGTTATTTAATACATCTATTTAGTATCTCTTCCATGACTAGCTATTAGGATATCTGCTGTTGATGTAAACCTATTTAATACATGTTATCTCTTCCATGATAGCTAGTAACGTTAGGTTGTGTGTAATGTTAGTTGATGTAATCATATGTAGCTAGCTAATAACGTTACATGTCATCTCTTCCATGACTAGCTATTAGTTGATGTAGTTAGTAGATGTAAACTTATATGATAAATGTTATCTTTTTCACTTTAATCTGTCTAGTAATCGTCTTTCATATCCTAATTTACTTTTAATTTAAATAGATGATGTGCTACTACTGTGTTTAAGCACTGCATCACACCAGTTCCAACTTACATCTGTGTCATTCTTTTTGGTGAAACCCACACACTAACTTACTTTTCTTTGCACGCTTCATCCTGTCGTCTGCCCTGGCTCTAACCTCGAGTGTTTTAGCCTGTAGCCTTTACTTTTCGCAAACCTTGTGAGCACGCGAACCCAAACGCTGTGACCTCGCGCCAAATTGTTTTTACTGGTTTATTAAGTACAAACAGGCGAGTTATGAAAAATTTAGTGTGAGGGATTTGTTCACTTCACACAAAAATATCTTGGAATGAGATGGCTAACTGTAGTAGCGTTTAGTCCACTGTCTATAATAGCCTAATTAGAGATCACTTTTTTTTTTAACCGACTACCGACAACTTTGATCGGTTAACGTTGATACGGTCAAC